TGTGAAAATTCACCCCCCAAGCGATCCATCAGAGGCAGCTAATGATGACATTTGACTTCATACAACTCAGTGTACCACAGGGATACCTTGAGTCTTGGCGAAGCTTTTCCACTCAGTAGATTTCTTTACGAACAACTCGTGATACGACACACAATAAGAGCTTCCTTGAGCATCCATCTAGGTACCAGATTTGTGCTGGACTTATGTTTTCCCTTCTCAGCCTCACATCACCCCATCACACGGCTCCTCATTTCATATTTGCAGATGGAGGGAGTAAGGTTGAGTGAGGTCAAGCGACTGACTCATGGTCATAAGTAAGTTAGAGCCAGAAATCTACTCTGAAGCCCGTACTTTTAATCATTTCTGTCAACTAAAATGATTATCAGAGGGAGAAATGACATGGAGGTACAAAGGTGCTTTCAACATGTCACTATTTGCTCATTCATTCTTCCAAGAGATAGGTATTAAATGTGTATTACTTGGAGAACACTAAGTGCTAATTGCTGCAGGGACCATGATGAGCTGATCATTTTCTTTGCTATAAGTTCTTCTGGTGCCTACGGACTAGTGGGAGAAACAAGTTAAACCAGATATTCATAATCATATTTATTTCCCAGTTGAGATAAATGCTTAAAGAAGAAAGAGTTACAGAGTTTGCTGAGAACTCCCGAAAAGATGCTGACTTAGGTGGGGTCTGGAGTCTTGAATAACTGAAACCTCGGTGAGATCTGAGGCATCCCTAAGACTCGAGTTAGGGGTTCTATGTGGGAATCTTCCTATATTAGTGGAAATGGCCTGTGCAAAGGCACTGAAGCAGGCGGGGACCCCATGTGTTCAAGAACTGAGAGGAGGTTACAATGGCTTGGTACATCCAGGAATGGAAAAGTGGAGTAAGAGAAGCCACTTTGTGATCGGCCTTAGACTGGATTTGATTTGAAAGTATGGAGTCTGGGTCAGACAGGCTGGCTCCCAGGCCTAGCTTGGCCCTTAGTCATAAAGGCTGTGGGCGAGTGAACACACCTTCCCTTGGCTCAGGTTCTTCCTGTGCAAACAGGGATGACAACACAGGTGCCCGTAGAAAGTGGTCAGGATCGGTTGAAAACGTAGTAGGAACTAACCATTCCTATTTCCAGATGAGGAAAATTAGGTTTAGAAAAAAACCGAGGCTAGTTATCATTATGATTATCTGGATGTCACGGCCCCATAGTGAGAGGTAGTGAACTTAAGGACAAGGAGAGCCCTGGAAACATGAAATCCAACGAGCAAGTGAACGACAGGGTGCAGGGCAAGGGGCGGGAAGGGTCCGTTTCCAGATAACCTGGTCCCAGGAGACACTGTCTCCAGCAGCCATGAGGGGGCATCAGGAGTCTACTCACTTCAGGTCCTTCTTCAGGAGAACGGGGTTCTGGGGGCAATAGGAACTGCCGGTGCCAATTTTCTCCCTTGTTCTCTTAGGGAGTAGATCCGATTGTCTTTTAGCCTGGAAGGCATGAGAGGGGTCTAGAGGCCCTTGTGCTGCAACCAGAAATTCCCATTTCTTGTGCGATATCAGAGGCTGTATTAGTAATGAGACAAAAGCTTCTGTCATACTCAATTAATGTTTCAAAAAACCAAAGATGCTTAAGAAACATTTTAGCACAGGTGAGTTAAAGGGATGTTTACTTGCTAGTAGCAAACGGGAAGTGCATGCAAAGAGAGGAACTAAAATGATAAAGTTCTGATACTCACTCATTTCTCTAGAATTTCTTGTGTTTAGCTTCAAAAGGAACCCTGATGGTGTAGGGGTTACACATTGAGGTGCTAACTTCAAGGTCAGCAATTCAAAAGCACTAGCCACTCCCACGGAGAATGACAGGGCTTTCTACTCCCATAAAGCGCTCCAGTCTCGTCAACCCACCTACAGTTCCACAGTTCTACAGTTCCACCCTGTCCTGTAGGGTTGCTACGAGTCAGCATCAGCTCCACGGCAGTGAGTTTGGCTTGAGTGTTTGGTTTACCTTCAAAAGAAGACCCCTTGTGGCACAATGGTTAACTGCTCAGCTCCTACCCAAAAGGTTGGTAGTTTGAATCTACCAGCTGGTCCGCAGGACATAGCTCTAACAATCTGCTCTCATAAAGATGTATCGCCTTGGAAACTGTATGGAGTAGTTCTACTCTGGCAGCTAGTGTCGATATAGGGTCACTGTGAGTCAAAATTGGCTTGATGGCAATGGGTTACTTTCAAATGGTGGTGACAAAGAAAAACTAATCTTGAACTCTATTGTGTATTTATAAGCCTAGTGGTTCAGCTTCCTGTGATTTGTGAGTTTTTACTTAAGATGAATGACTTTTCACAAGCACTGCTCCCGTGGTACGTGCTGAGGGTCTCCTGTGAGCTAGCCCTGGTGTCAGGGGCTGAGACACGCCCGTAAGCAGAACAGGCGTGGCTCATGGAACGTGTATGCTTGCATTCATCCCTTTGTTCCCGGCAATTTAATTACTTTAGATATTTTAAAAGAAGTACTTATTAAATGAACAGGGTACTATTTTTAAATAGAAAATTAAGGCAAGAGTGTTTTTTTTTTACTTGACTTTCATCATGTTTATGGAAGGCTCTGTCCTCCAGATGAAGAAAAATGTTCCAGAACAGAACACTATGTAAAGTAACGTGGTACTTGATCATCATGCTTTCTGATAGGTCAAACCAGAAGCAGTGGAGATTGGCGCATCTCCGACCTTCCAGTGGGCTGTGCTATGACCTCAATTGGACAGCCGTTGCGTACAGTGGACACTGCCGTTACTGAAACCATTGTCATTGTTTGTTTCAGGGCCGGCTTGATTCTCTAACGGAAGTGGATGACTCAGGACAGTTAACTATCAAATGCTCTCAAAATTATTTATCTCTGGATTGTGGTATTACTGCTTTCGAACTGTCTGACTACAGCCCGAGTGAGGACTTGCTGGGCGGCCTGGGCGACATGACTACTAGCCAGGTCAAAACCAAACCTTTTGACTCTTGGAGCTACAGTGAGATGGAGAAGGAATTCCCCGAGCTCATCCGCAGTGTTGGTTTACTTACCGTGGCCACTGACCCCCTCCCTCCCAGCTGCAGCAGAGAAGCTCCTGAGGAGGCTGCTCCAGTATCTCTTTCAGCTGAGGCCAAAGGTGGACGCAAGGCAAACGGCGCTGCTGCAGCCAGTGAGCTCTCCCCCCACATCTCCCCAGGACTGTCCTCTGTAGGGGAAGCTGAGACACCCGCTCTTCGACCCCCTTCTGAGACCACAAAGCGAGACTCCAGTTCCCCTTCTCATCTTGGTGCAGAGGACCAACCGTCTCTTCCTTGTGAAAATTCACCCCCCAAGCGATCCATCAGAGACTGCTTTAATTATAACGAGGACTCACCCACACAACCCACGTTGCCAAAGAGGGGGCTTTTCCTTAACGTGGAGAATTTTAAGAATGACCGAAAAAGTCAGGGTGGAAAGAAGCAGGTGGTTGATCTGAAGCCCGAGCTGAGCAGAAGCACCCCCTCCCTGGTTGACCCTCCCGACAGATCCAAGCTCTGCCTGGTCTTAAAGTCTTCCTATTCCGACAGCACTTCGGCGGGGGCCAGCCAGTCCTATGAGTGTCTCTACAAGGTGGGCATTGGGAATCTGGAAAGCACAGTGAAGAACCACATTAAGGAGATCTCATCCAGCCTGGGAAGGCTGAGCCACTGCTGTAAAGAGAAACCTCAACTTACAAAGTCTCAGGAGATTTCAGGAGAAGCGCCCCTGTGCCGAACACCCAAGAGGGGAATCGACCCAGCTGAAAACAGTAAGAACTCAGTAGCACAGAATGGAATTCCCTCTTCTGTTTGCAAGGACACAGAGGGGCTGGAGACAGATTTGGCTTTGACACCTTCCCTCGAGTCCTGCGTCCAGAGAAGTCGGGGTGGCAAGCTGCCGGCACAGGGAGAGACATCCAGCTCACCACCTGGCACTCAGAGCAGCGAATCACCTGCTGGCTCAGATGCCCTTGTGTCTCCATCACCCCTTCTTTCAAAACACAAAAGCAAGAAAAGCTGCACCTCTTCCCCAAGCCACGTCACCAGAAACGGTCAGGTTGTGGAGGCCTGGTACGGCTCAGATGAGTACCTGGCGCTGCCCTCTCACCTCAAGCAGACGGAGGTCTTAGCGATGAAGCTGGAAAACCTCACAAAGCTGCTGCCTCCCAAACCGAGAGCAGAGACCATCCAGGATATTGACGACTGGGAACTGTCCGAAATGAATTCGGATTCGGAGATCTACCCAGCGTACCACGTGCCAAAGAAGCACACGAGGCTAGGCAGAGTGTCTCCGAGCTCATCCAGTGACGTCGCCTCTTCCCTGGGGGAGAGCGTGGACTCGGGGCCCCTGAGTGACCTGCTTTCTGATGAAGACCTAGGCCTGCCGCTCTCTGGCACGAAAAAACACGACGGCGGGAAGTCAGAGAGGGCTTCATCCACAGAGAAAAACGAGAGCCGTTCTGTCACAAAGTCGGCTTTAATTCAGAAGCTGATGGCAGATATTCAACACCAGGACAACTATGAAGCCATATGGGAAAAAATAGAGGTACGTGGAATTTTGGTGGTGGTTGTTATTAATAACATTTCTTTTTTTAAAAATCAATTGGGATCAATGCATATATCAAATCATTTCATAGTTCAATCACGTCCAGCGGAGAGGTAAGTGCACTTAACACGAAGGATTTCCTAACTGCTTTGGGAGAGTAGTGTGTAGAAGAGGCTCAACCCTTACCCACCCCACCATGAAATATGTTGCTATATTTGGTATTTTGATAAACCTAACTAACCCCCTGAAGAAAACAGCACAGTGATCATGGTACTGTGATGGAATATACACCACCAGCCTCTGCCCCCAGCCATGCAGTAGCTTCATGGGTCCCTAGGTGGTTCCATCCATGCTGCTGATGCTGCTCCAAATCCTAGCTGGGTCCTGATGACCGGTGGCCCGCCCCCTGGCGGTAATCCAAAATAATGCGGGTCAGTAGCCAGGCACAGACCAGTACGTCAGCAGCGTGCTTGCAAATGCACTCCTTCCCCTTCCCCACTTTTGTTCTGGCCCCAGAGCAGCTTCCTCACCTGCAGTGTTGAACTCACCAGGAACCTGCTTTCCCTGTTCTTCCTCCTCCTGGAGACTGCAGGCTCACCGCCAGGCACAGCCCTGCAGGTCTGAGGTGGAAAGTCGACATTTAGCGTAAATGTCCTTTCAGAATGAAGGATTAGATAGTTGGCATGGTTGAGGGCAGATCAGAGAGTACATATTCAGCTGCTAGGCTCAAGGTCAGCAGTTGGAAACCACCAGCGCTCCATGGGAGAAAGCTGAAGCTTTCCACTCTATAAAGAATGACCATCCCAGGGCAGGCCTACCTGCCGTGAGGGCTGCCGTGAGTCAGGATCGACTGTCTAGCAGGGAGGGTTTTTGAAACGCTCTGTGAGGTAAGTTGTGGTTTGGTCATCCGGGCCAGAAAGGCTCACTGTGATTATTGTGCTGTCTCACCTCGGAAGACCGTTGGGAATGGATCCAGTCCATTTGGTGATGGCAATGGTTCCTTATTCCATCGGCGACAGCACTTTACATGCACACGTGTGATGTTCACAGCTACCTGGTGGAGAAGGCAGATGACTCTCAGACCAGTGACTCTCATATTATAGAGAACGGAAGGTGTCCAGCGAGAAGAAGTAACTGTTCCCAAGTTCAAATGCATTAATACGTAGGTAAACTCTTTGGCCGGGGAAACTGAGACCTGAACCCAGGCTTCTCATTTCCAGTCGAGTTTTCTCTCTGTTGCCTCGAGTTACCGCCCTGACGGGGGGCAGCCTCTCCTTCACTGGGGACCGCTCAGAGCAGGGGAGACCAGACAGCGTGGGGCTTGGTGGGTGCCAAGAGAAGGGTCCTGCCTACAAACTCTGTCATTAGAGAGCAGTCAGCATCTGTATAGAGATCATAGAAATGGTTGGTGTAAGGCCCCAACGGCCAACCAAGGCAATCAAAGTTGTTCTCTCTGGAAGGGGTAGAGAGTATTAACACAATTGATCATAACAAATGATTATTATGCTTATATTGTGCTTGGCGTTGTGCTAACTAAACAAAAAAATAAAGTCGCTGACATCTAGTAGATGTTGACTCGTTGCGACCCTATAGGGCGGCGTCGAACAGCCCCTGTGAGTTTCCCTGACGGAGTCTTTAAGAGAATAGGACACCTGGTCTTTCTCCCACGGTGGTAAATATGGCACAGCAAAATAAGGGTAACTAGCTTATTCTATTTAAGTCCCATGCGGTGGGAATTTTTCAGTTGAGGAAGCGAAGGCAGAATTTGGTTAGGAAGCCTGCTCCGTGTCCCCCTGCAGTCAGGGCAGAGCCTGCATTAGAAAGCCGTGTCCTTCCCCTCTCGTCGCCTCTCTGGAAGTCCTGGTCATGACAGCCACCATGGTCGTGACCCAGGTGGAGACTGAGGACATGTCGGAGAAACCAGCACATCCCAGGGGGTGCTCTACTATGGGCTGTGCCAAAGGGAGGTGGGGGTGGGGTGGCTGTCTGGGAAGCAAGAGATCCAGAAAACAAGAGGCTGTCATTAACGCCAGGTGTGACCTACAACTAGTTCAATCTGAGTCGCTTTTCTATTCCTTTGTGAAAAGAGACGTATTCCTGAGATGATGTCTACATTAGCCGTTTCCAGTAGGAACATGCATCGATGGCACATTTGTTTCCAGCGAGGAAGCCATATTTTCAGCGGCTGGGAACATTTGGAAGCTGGTTTGAGGTGGAAGTGGGACAAGTCATAAGAAAAAAAAATATTGTTGCACTTGTGAACTATTCAAGAGGAAGTGCCTTGCAGGTAGCTGGAAATACTATACAAGAGTTGGCATGTGAGATAAAGACAAAAAGAAAATCAACCCCATTCCTTAGGCTAACCTTCCTGTAGGACTTTAGATGAGGGCAATTACCCCATCCTAGGTCATGGGGTCTGTCACACCCACACTCCGGGCTCATCATTTAGTGACCTGGAGAATCCACTCCACCTGCAGGATGTGACAGAGTAAGAAAGAGCATTACTTAAGTGTGTCCTTGTCCCTGGCATCTGCTAGGTTCTTTGCCTATGATTATTCTCCCCAAGGGGCCTCATCACCACCCTGCAAGCTCGGTTTGATTATCCTTCATGCCCCTTCCAGTGATGGCAGCCTGGTCCTGGCATCACCCGCCCCTGGATGGCTGCAGTAGTGCCTCACGGTGGGTCTCTGCCTATTGCTTCTTCTGTACTCTATTCCCATGCCAACAGCCAGAATCCTCTTTTCAAACCAAAATCAGATCGTGTTTCTTCTCCGTTCATTGTTGAGCCGACGGATTCATGACATAGCTGAGCCATTTTCTCCCCGGAGAGATGAATGTCTTTAAATGCCAGATCCTGGCAGCTTGGCTGTGGTTCAGTGACTCAGCTGTCATTGTCATTTCGACCCAGACACAACGCTGCCAGAATTGAAAGACTCCGTAGGTGCTTCAGTAAGGATGTCCCCGCAAAGGAGCCTTCTCCGTTTCAGTGCAGTAAACATAGGGGGCTTCAGAGAGTTCGTGGAAAAGTGGAATGAAAAGATAATGTAATTTG